TCCTTGCTGAAGGGGTCAATCAAACAATGGGGCTGTTAATAGAAATGTCAGTGGTTCAAGCTCTAGGAAGAATGACGTGGCCACTTGGATCCTTTAATATTTACAGCCTTGGGAACTCAATGATGCAGCCGCACTCTGTCCGATAAGGTGCCCGTGAGTTAAAATCGCCGAGATGAACCATGGAGTGTGTTTGTTTCACATATCCTTTCATAAGCTTGAACTAACTCAGTACTGAACTAACAGAGACCACTTCTGGCTCCACAACATGGCATCATGAGGATGGCACAGGAAAGGGAATTCAGTTGTTCAGAGGGTCACTATGAGTCCCAGATGATTGGACAGCACCTAACGACACAACAACAACTTCAAGTTTAGATGCTTGGGTGGCACCAATATATAAGTGTCCAGCTAATGACTGAAATATCAGCGGTTCAAAATCACCCAGTGACAACGCGGAAGAGAGGCCTGCCTGGTTAAGCTCTTGTCTCAGTATCACAGTCAAGGCAACGCCCTACAAGGTAATTCTAATTTGAAGCCCATGGGCTCACTATAAATCAGCATTTACCAGAATGTATTCAACATCAATTAAATTGGTTTTGGTGACTGGTATATCATGAGGTTAGAGTTTCCTAAGTTAAACACTAATTTATTATGTTGTTGATTGCCTTCGAGTTGAACACAACTCATAGGGACCCTATGAACAAAAGGCCTGAAGCAACTAAATAATTCGTACATAAAAATATATTTTCTTCATATCAGATTTCAAAGTATTTAAGCAACAACTTTATTGTCTAGGATTCCTTTCACCGCCTTATCTTACAATAATATTTTCAAAACTCATTTTTTTTTCAAGTGAGGAAAAATATCCAAATGACAAAGTTCAAAAAACATAATTTCAAATTGAACAATACAACCTGGGGAGTACAAAGTGGTGTGTATCTCAAAAGCATGCGTAACTTTCATTTACACATTATTTATTGGAGGCAAAAGATGAACAGTCCAATTCCTCTTTTTTTTATCAGTGGTGCAATTTCCACATTTCAAGGGTATAAAATGATAGCATCGCTCACACAAATCTAACACCCAGAATTTTCCATGATGTGCTCTTGGTTTTCTTAAATTAACGTAATCTAATCACATAAGTATTTTAATTTACAGTCTCAGAACAAATAACAAAATTTCCTTTTCAGGCAAACCGAAGGCATTTCAAAAATTTTCTCAGAGTCTAACATTTATGCTATGATGGAACTTTCAAAGAGAGAAATTCACTTTTTACTACTGGAACCCTCCAGTGACCTGCGTCCCCTTAAAAGGTCATAAAATGAAACTTAATGACTGCACCATAATCCCATGCAGTCAAAGTGAACAACAGAACTTTCTACCCACCCACGGAAGTTCTGGGTCCCCTTGCAACTAAAATGATTTTCTTTCTTAATAAAAAAAAAAGAAGGGCTTTTTCAAACTCTGAGATTATGTAACAGCCGGGAAAGGTCTCAAATGAATAATTTTTGGATACAGACTTTACTGCTAACTTTAAGTGAAAAATGTATAAGTCACAAATGATCTGCTTCTTAATCTGAGTATGCATGCCCTCTGCAATACCCTAATTAACTTTTACTGGATAAGTGAACATTTGGATTGAGCATTAGGAGACATGCTTAGACAATATCCAAGTGGCACTTTCTTAAGGATTCCCTTCCACCCGGGAGAAGCAGGTACTGTTGGCACTGCAGAGCATGCTGGGAAAGCTGCCATGGCACATGTTAGGTCTGGGAGGATAGTAGCAAACTGTCAAAACAGGAAGTAATGTGTGTGCTCATGCTTTGTAGGCGTGATTAACACTGATTTCTTTTGCAGTGATTCATAAGCACATTCTGATGATGATCATATCATCTGACGTTGTTTTCTATACAACAGGAGAGAGGGGAGGGGAGCTGAAAGTGAAACTGGAGGGAGAAAGAGAGAAAAAGAGGAAGTCAAGAAGGAAGAGGAAGAGGAAAGGAAGGAGAGACGGGAGAGAGGGAGAAAGAAAATCCTTGCAATTCATCCATTCTTTCACTTGGAAAAATACGTTGTTGTTATTATTATTATTTATTATTATTATTATTACTATTATTATTACTATTACTACTACTACTACTACTACTACTACTACTACTACTACTTTGACAATACAGGCTTCCAAATAATAATCCTTGCCCACTTCATACTACAAATTCAATTCTTCTGCAACAAGACACAGATTTTGATGTTCTATTTTCATATTTCTCTGTTTCCCCAATCAATGTAAAACTAAGTGAACACAAAAATGAGAGGAAAAAAACACCAAACCCCACAACTTTACAACTCTGAAACACTCTCGAAATTGCCACTAGAATTAGACTTGAAATGCAAAGAATTTAGAAACATACCTTACAAACAAAATCAATGTTTACATTTTATTTTGTCCTCCATGCAAGGAATGAAATGTAAATTGCCATAAGACCCCAGGAATCACTTTGACAAGATAAGCCTGTTGTATAAACAGGCTCATAATTGTGAGTTCAAATAAAAATTTTAAATTTAAAGTGCTAAAAACCATTTCACTAATATATCATTGATTAAAAGTTAACTCATAGATTAACTCCCATTTTTCAGAGTTCCACAAAGCTTTTTGAAGATAGAAAGCAATTTGTGTGATGTTACTAACACCAGCTAAAATAAGCATGGATAAAACATGCTATAGCAATTTGATTATGGAATTCTCTTTGTTTTCTTTCTTTTTTAAAAAATTTTGCTTTTGTTTTAAACATACTGATTAAAATATTCAGCTTGTTCACAATAACTTGAATGTTACTAACCTTTGTGCTTTTCAGAAATAAAAAATGTCTTGACATTTAATATATTTTTTTAAGAAATAAATATTTGAAAAGTATTATCTGTAAGGTTTCTAAGAAATGGTTTTGAATTCCAGAGTCCCAAGGAGATGAATTGGCTGTCAGGTAACAATGTGTTTCCATCAGATGGACTTGGCAGTTGTAAACAAAAAGAATTTTCTCAGCTTTTCCTCACAAATATGAAATATTTGCTTTCAGCCAACAGCTGGGGTGATTTAAAGAAGTCCTGCATATATATTAGTTTTCATTCAAAATTACAGACCCTCCTCCTACTCTGAAACAGACTGTGTGTCTCTCTAGTAGAATGGGAGATTGTTTGGCGGTGAAGTGGTATTCTCTGGGGAAGCAAAAAGCAAAAACTAGGATGTACTTACAACTCCAGTCAACTTTCAAGGCAGAAGGCCTCTGGTTAATCATTTCTGGGAAAAGTTAATTTATTCAAGATCAAGTCCGAATGGTCCTCTTAAGAAGAGACTTGAGAAGCAATGAGAAAATGAGCTTTACTTTAACGTATGTGAGGATCTTTAGATCTACAAAGAACTGGAACTGTCAGGGCATGAGAGGTCAGGAAGACTCCACCAAAGATTGCTACTGTTAAAATATCCTTAAAAATTAAAATACCGATATTCCCATGGGCTGCAACTTATGGGAGGGGAAAAAATGAATATTTAAACTATCATGATAAATCACCTACTAATCTTACTAATAATTATTTAAATTGTATTGATCATTTGTTTTAAATGGATAGATTGGAACACTTCACCAAGAAACCCAGTAGTGTTTAGTTAATCATGGAAGTTTATGAAAAGCTAATGGATAATACGGCTGGAGTATTTTTAAATAAAATGTTAAGCAAATATTTCTTTTTATTTCCCTCAATACTAGTTAAAACCGATGTTGCAGCTTATTTTTTTTAATTACCTAGGTTAGGATATTTAGCATGGGGAAAGTTTTACAGTCCAGTAAGTTAGATTTTTCTTTGTTTAATTTACTTGAAGTGATAACAGTGTGGTCTACACAGTGGATTTACATTTTAGAACTTTTCCCTACTTACAGGCAAGGGTACAGAATTAACTTTTGCCCTCTGAGCTCAGGGAATCTGAGCATGTGCCATGGCTGAAATGAACACCGTATTTTGTTATTTTAAATCTTTATTTTACACAAAGTGACTACTAAGGCAAAAGTGAAAACTTACTAAAATAATTATTGCTATTTTTATTGCAGCTTTTACTTGCCTTTAAAATGCAAACCTACCCAAGTAGACCAATCAACGTATGAATGAGGAAATTACAATTCAAATTAAAAAGCCTGTATATTTTTTCCTTTTGAGATGAATGTTCAAGAAGAAAACAACTCTTTCTGGACAACACAATAACACTCATCAAATAATACACAGCATTTATTATGAGACTTTGTTTCTGAAAATAAATATAGTTAAATCGGAAATATATATTCAACTTTCTTAGGGGGAGCAGAAATCAAGGTTAAAAATGCCTATGGTTTGATAACACCAACTGTTCTCTCTATTCCTACTATTTTTAATCTGTGTTTTCCAATGATAGATGTTTCAAAGACTACTGTAAGATAATAACACTAGATAGAAATATTAATACTGTTTGTCATAATTTTTTTAAAATATTAAAAGGTAAATGTCTATCAGCAAACATTTAAAACATTTCCTCCAATTTCACCAAAGATGCACAAAAACAACACTATGGAAATTTAAGAAAAAACAACATAAATACACAAGAAAATGCCAGAATGCAGATAAATCAACACTTTCTCTCTCCATTAAAAAAAAAAAGAATCCAATCAAGTAAGTATGTAATATGGAAAACACAGAGAGGCAAGACACAAGGCCATGAGTACAGAGTAAGCACCTCTGGAGATAAGTCCACATTTTTGAGTTTTAATACATTAGTATTATTCATCCAGACACTGTACTTACTCTTCATGCATTTAAAGTGAAAACCACTTAGCCATCCTCTTTTATAATCTTTCAAAAGCTAGGATGTGAAAATGCAGGCACGGTGCCTTGAAGTTCAAGCTTCCCCCCCCCCTTTCTTTCTTTTTAATAAACACGAGTTATTCTGTTGTCATAAGTTTGGAACTGAAAATACTTACAGTCGCTCCAGTTCTTTAAGATCCTGGAATGCTCCTTTTTCAATAGAGCTAATCTTATTTTCCATAAGCTGCCTGAAATGCAAAGTAGAACATGAGACTTCTAGTCATCAGGAACCATCTAACTAAGTTTCAATTCAGTAACTCAGAAATGTGCTGTATCCTTCCCTTTCAAATCCCAAACAGTGCTTGGGGTTGGGAACTAATATTCAGTGAAAGTTCATACATTTCAGAGGAAGCTAAGGGGTGGGGTGGGAGTTAATTAGCACAAACATCACAATACCATCATGTAAAATATTCCTCTAGTTTCTCAGGTCTTTATAACTGGTGTAAGTTTAACCTTGAAACCACAGTTTATCTGGACAGCAACTCAGAAACTACAGTTTGATGGCTGTTTGGGCATAGACAGATTTTTAAATGAGGTGTTTTGTTTTTTTTTTTCATTTACAAAATGACAGAATTTTTACAGTAATTCATCATACACATACTTCTGCTCTGACTTTCTCAATATCCATCTGCAACTGGAAGAACTTATAATAATGTATGATCTATGTCTCTTAAAACATGAATCAGGGTCCAAAGTGTATAATCCTTGTGATGCAAATATTGACAACTTAGGGAGGAAAACAATTTAACATAACAATAGACTGCAAGTGCTGGTTAACTCACTAATTTAACCCTCTATTTAGGGAAGTAATATTGAAACAATTTTACAAAAGCTACAAAGTTAAAACTATATCTAACACTTTAAAATATGGCCAATATATTTTTATAGGTAAGCATTTTTCCACACTCTGCAGAGGAGCTGAATTAAGTTTGAAGTTAAACATTTTAACTCATTGTTCTCTCCAGGAAAACCTGAACATTATTATATTAGTAATAATAAAATGCAGACCCACTAGTATTTTCTCTAGTTAATATAAAACCCAATTTTAAAACTGTATCAAATGTCTCACATTACTTATTCATATTGCAAAAAGCAGTTATTCTGCATTTTTATATGCATTAGCCCCTACTTAGGATATGATATAACTGACATTTTAAATCACTTTTATAATATTGTTTCTATAGCATACATCCAATTTAAAATCCTAGCTGTTAATTAAAATTTGTAGTACAGTAATAAACAAAAAGCCCAGGTATTTTAAAAGTTTGTTTCTGTCACTAAGAGTTATTAAAACTGAGACCAAAAAAAGAATTATCAAAAATAAACAAAACAAAAATGATCCAAAACACAGAAAACCTCACTTACAGAACTCTTAGATGTTTAAGCCCGGCAAAATCTGTTTTAGTAATCCTTGTGATATTATTTCCATTCAAGTCTCTGCAAAAACAAGGAAGAAAATAGCAGCTCCATTTTATTTCTCTCAATTTGAGGTTCGACAAAGTAAAGAATACAAATTTATCCTAGTGTTTTAAGTCACTCACTAAATAAATGGGAGAAAGAAGGGAATGGCCTTGTAATGAAATTTTTAAAAAAATTCTTAAGTTTACAAATGTGATGTTTGCTACCACGTGACTAGAGTAATGTGATTATATATCACCACCAAGTTTGTTGTTATGTACATGAATATATATGAAATCACTTTCCATTTTAGCTTGCATATATATGGATGTGCTGTGTTTTCAAATGTATTCATGCTTAAAAAAAAGAACAGTTGCTTTATTATTGTTGCTATGTATACTCCCAAAAGTTTCCCTCAGGATGCCAAAGGAATACTTTTCTGGTACTTAACTATTCAGGTGGAACATTAAAAAAATTTTTGTAGAACAATCCTTCTTAGATATTATGATGACTAAACTTCCTAAGGTAAAGAAAAAGATTAACATGCCATCAAAAGAGCTGTGCTTCAAAGACTTGCATTTATAGGTATTTACCTTCCAACAATCCCATGTTTGTAGGAAAACTAAACTACTCTTTTGCAGCTCAGGGCACCCCCGCTGACACTGCAATGTGAAAAGGACCAGCACAGTGATACAAACAAATTTTAGGTCCTGCCATGGCTGTGAAAATTTCAGCATCACTAGCACCAAGTGCTTAGCCTGTCAATGAAAAGGTTGGCAGTTCGAACTCACCAACAACCCCACGACAGAAAAAGTCTAGTCCCTGAAAAGGTAAAACACCTTTGGAGTTCTGCTCTGTCCAACCAGGTCGTGAAGTGGACTTGGAGGTGCTTGTTTTGTTTTTGTCTTTCCTTCTGGAAACATAACCTACCCTTCTGGCATCTTTGGTCAGAATCTAAACTTGCCCTGTTTCCAATCATTTCAAACAAAACCAGGTTTCTCTGCGGTTTCCAAGTTCCCCTTCAGGGCAGCAGCCTCTACTTTACTGTCTTCTACCTTCGACTTGAAAACCACAGGTCTGAAATCTGCACTTCAGTGCGTACTGTTTTCAGCGATTGAATTGTACAAGCAGAGCAGATAAACTATTTTGGGAACTCTTTGCAGATTCTTCCTGGGAATCTTTCTGAAATGCGACTGCCCTGCTGTGTTTTGGGGTGGCTGGGTTTTGTGGTGGATTCCCCCTCCTTCTTTCTTTCCCTGAGTTCAGTTCCTTTTTGTTGTTGAGTAAGTAAGACGTGTTAGTGCTTAAACTTTAAACTGTTTTGAAGAGCATGAAATGACAGGGGCTAAAATAGAACTCTGAATTACTGCTTTTTCTCCCCGACCCACGTTTCCTCGGAGGTGCCCAGAATGGTTGTGGCTGGGGTCTTGTATTAGTTACTTGCTATAGCATGCATTCTCTCCCCCAGTTAAAATAGGTGGATCACGTTTTTACAAGACACTTCCCATAGGACCCCTCAGAATCTCTGTGCCCTGCTAGTTGGGAAAGGGAGGGTGGTCAATACGCGAGTCTGGAGTACTTATATGCAAACTTGTATTAAGAAACTCAAGTGGGCCTTGAAAGCCATGTTGAAGGCTAGAACTGGAATGGGCTGGATAAGAGGAGCAACTCCAGGGCCCCAGAACCACGCAGGTGGAGACGAGGAGGTGAGAGGGGGTGCCCCGCGCTGCCGCTGGCGCCGGAACCAAGAGGGCCTGGGCGCGCTCCACGCGGAGGCCCTCGCAGCCTTCACCCCGCGCGCGCCAGGCCCACGCGCAATTGCGCGAGCGGAGCGCGCGTAGGGCGCTGGGGCGGCGCGAGGCGGCGGCCTCGGCGGTCACAAAGGGAGCGGCCTCCATGCTCCACTTCCCTGAACTCGGGAAGCCCCCACAAGGAGCGCGTGGGCCGTCAGCAGCCGGCCTGCTTTTACTTCTTCATTAGAGCCTGGCGGGGGCAGGGAGGCGGGGACGTCTGCGGGCAGCGGAGCGCGGAGAGGAGAGGGCAGGGGAGCTGCCGCCACGTGAAGCGGCGCAGAAACTGCCAGAAAGGTGGACACGGGCACTGGGGCTCAGCGAGAAGGGCTGGAGGGGGCAGCCGAGTGCCACCGGATCCCTGAAGCAGGAGACCCCAATGGGAGGAGGCCCCAGCTGCAACTTCGCCTGGACACGGGGAGGTGGTCGTCCCCAGCAGGTGCCCATCAGGCAGATCCCAGGGGACCGCCACCGCCTCCCCGGGGAGACGGGAGTGGTGGAGAGTGGCAGGCGCTGGCGGCCACAACGGGGGGCGCTGGCGCGTCCAGCGGTCTACTCCATCCAGGGCCTGAGAGCACCGCCCGCGGACCGGACAAGCCGGCGCCCCCAGACCCTTTCCACACTCCCTTCGCGCGGGAGAGTAACACAAAGCAGGGAAGCTGAGGGTTTCGCTCCTCTGAGTCCCCGCACCGCCAGAGAAGGGACTTGGCCCTGAAACCGAACAGAGTGTCCACAACTGCAAGGTGACTTCATTCACTGAGTCTAGGGCGCAAGGTCGCCTCTCCTTCGCCCCAGGCACCCGCAAACACTGGTACCCCAACTCTGCAGCTTCAAAGCCGCCCGCACACAGTAGGGCTAGAATGGGACGCTAAGGGGAAGAGCCCACTGCAGTTGCTGATCGGTGCGCCCCTCCAGGAGCAGTTCCTTCTCCCTAACTGATGCCCATCCTCGCCCTTCGCCCTCCTGGCGAGACTAGGCAGGCTGTGTGGAAGGGTAGACTGCAGAATGCACTTAGTCCCTCCAGTCACAAGGAAAGGGGTACATGACTCAGATGGCAGGCAGGATGTGGGGGGAAGAAAGGAGAAGCCCATACTCACAGCCTCTCAGTGTTGCGGGGGATATTCTTGGGCACGCTGCGCAGCGCCAGCCCGTGACAGTCCACGGTGCTGCCGGAACAAGAGCACTGGGCCGGGCACGCCTGGGGCGCCACCTCGTCCAGGACCCCCAGCACTAAGCCCAGCCACAGGGACAGCGTCTGCCAGCCAGCCCCGCGCATCTTCTCCCGCTGCCGCCTCGATCGTCAGCGCCCGCGGGTTTCTCTTCAGGTCGCTGATCCGAGGAAGCGTGTAGTGCGCGCGAGGCCCGGTGGTCCAGCCTGGGGCCAGCGGACTGGTAGGAATGTGCAAAATAAATGACGAGGAAGTAACAGTAAAGACCGTGGAGGCACACGCCTTCCTCCTCCCTCTTCTGGCAACTTCAGGTCTGAAGATCAGTCGTCTGGTCCCAGGCTGCAAGGAATCCCCGAGAGCAGCGGGCGATCACGCTTCCGAGGATTGACTTGGCGGTAACCGAGCAGGGGCTCTCAATGGCCACGCAGGCAGGGGCCGGTGGCGCAGAGGGATGAGGGGCTGCTGGGATCCAGTGCACTCCTTCTATGAATTCGAAATCTACTCCTCCAGGCAGAAGAGAGGTCACAGTGGGAACAGTGGCCCAATCAAAGTGAGCTCTCCTAAGCTAGAAGACACAGGAGCCCTGCGGGCAGGAGGCAGAGCGTGCGGGGGGACTGAACATAGCGCGCGGGGGCGCACGGGGCAGGCGCGCAGCCCGGCGGGGAGGGGGGGCGCCGCTCACGCGCTTTTGCCCGGGTTCCCGCAGCCCCAGATGGTCTTTGCCAGCTCTCAGTAGCCAAGGGTGGTTTCACACACACACTTGCACTTCGCTGAAGGGTGGCAAGGCAATCCCGCCTCCCGCCAGGCGTCCTTGGCGACGCTCTGCACCGGGGCCTGCCCGGAGGTCACGCTGAAAAGACAAAAGGGCAGTCGAGCCTCTGCAGCCAGTAGAAATATCCACTAGGCACGACCCCAGAAGAGAAAAATCCAAGAGGCTAAGTTGAGGACGTGAGCTTCCGCGAGGACCAGAGGGGATTGGTTGGGGCAGGATTTGCAGGCAGGCAGGCAGATCAGTAAGAGTGGAAAGGCCAAGGTGAGGGTGTCTGCGCCCAGGATACAGTTGGGGTGTCCAGGAAGAAGATGGGGTGGTGGGCGGACCAGTGGGATACGTTACTCCAAGACTGAGCCCAGGAGCTAGCTGAATGGCAGTCGTGTGTGCGCGCGCGTGTGCCAACCACTCTGGTCTCCCGGATACGCCGCAGCTCCGCAGCAGACACCTGATGGCAAAGGTGGAAGGAAAGCAGAACAGGCCTCCTAGGAGGGCGCAGCCCCTCGGCAGTCGCCCACAAGTGGGGTAGTGTCTTCAAAGTGCAGGAACTTTCCCCAGGTTTTGGATAGCGTCCCCCACGGAGGGCAGCCTCCACCGACGTGTCGACGCCGCCTGTGCACCTGACTCTGCGGCTGCCCCTAGGCGCCGAACTCCTTCCAGCCCCTGCCTCTCTCCTGCTGCTGTCCTCGCCTCCGGGTCCGCAGAGGGACTAGGGGAGAGGGTAGGCGGTGGCCGTCTCCGGAGCCCCGGGCAAGTGTCTAAACAATAGGACAGACGCAGCCGCCCAAGTCTCGCCGGGGCTGTGGGAAGGTGGGTTGTTGCTGCAACTGGCGTGGTCCGCTTGGGGTGCTGGGACCTGCGCGCTGCCAAACAAAAACCCCGGCCCGCGCTTCTCGAGCCGCCCGCGGGCCCCGGACGACCCCTTTCTTGCTCAGCACTCCCGCAGGGCCCGGCAAGCTCGGCAGCTCCAGCCCGCGCCCGGGAGCCACGGCGCTTCCATCCCTCGCCGCCACCGCTGCCGCTGCCGACTGGGCTAACCACCAGCCTCTGCCGTCCGGGCGCTTCCGAAATAAATAAGCCCAAGTCAGAAGTTAAGCAGGCGCGGCCTTTATATAGCCGCCCGAGCCCCCACCCTCGGCCCCGCCCCGAGCGCCCGGCGCCGCCCACTGGCTGCGCGCGGGGACCCCGCACCTCGCCGGGAAGAGGTGAGGCCGTGCTGCCTGCGCCAGGCGGCGGCGGGCGGCGCGCGGGGACGCACCTCAGCTGGCTTGCTCCCTGGCTCCCACGCCCGTTAAAGTTACCCGAGGGAGGAGGCTTGGGACCCCCCCCGGGCGGGCCTGGGGCGACCCGGGGGCCGAGGAGGTGGTTAGCCCGGACGCAATGGGGCAGGAGGACGGCTGGGATCACCACTCGTCTCCTAAAAAGAGCTGCCAGTGTGTCTGCTGCAGCCTTTGCCACAGGATCCTAAGGGGCTGCTCACTGTCTGCCAGGCAGCCAGAGACTGAGATGCGGGGAGATCATGATTTTTTAAAAAAAGAAGGGAAAACATGCGGAAATAGAGCTGCCTGCGCTCACAGACACACTCGCGTGTATTTTTGGGGAGCTTGAAAGTTCAGAGTTTTTGCAAGTTGGAGAGTCGCCGTGTTTTCAGCCTCCTTGCCAGTCTTCCCTGCTCTAAGCCACCCCCTTCCGCTTAACCCTTTCTTTGAACTCATACTCCTAACAGCATGCTCCGTTGACGCCTTGAATATCCAATGCGCTCACAAAACTCGAGGGCTTGAATATGTCTGTGTGATTCTACTCTCTTAGGCAGGGAAGGAGAAGGGGTGGAAAAATCCCTAGCAACGCGCGTAGCACCAGAAGGTTTCCCTTATTTTAGGGCACTTCTGGTTTTTGGGTTTTGGGGTTTTTTTCCTGTTTTTTGGTTTTTTACCAGTCTCTGTTCCAAAGAGTTATTTCCTTGGTTCTACTTGTCTCTGTAGTGTGACGTGTGTCTGACAACAGCTAGGGCTGTCCCACGCCCTCCTCTCCCCTCCTCAGGCAAAACCAAATGTCACTGTTGGTTTTTAACAGCATCTAAATTGAGTCCACACTTTCCCTTGAATTGAAAACCACTCATGCCATTTTATTTTGGGTCCCCTGTCACCTCTGTGGTATTCGTTTTGCATGAATTTGTGCAAGGCTGGAGCTTAACACCAGTGCCATGATATGGTAGCGGTTGGTCTCTGCTTCTCCCTTTCTGAGAGTAACACCTTTCTAAATCATCTTTGTGTTGCCAGCATTTAACACAATGCCTCAGCCAAAGTAAATACAGCAACAACTCCCCCATAGTAGGTGCTTTGAAATGGATACCTTTAGAATGATCACAGGCACACAACCAGAAATCTCTCCAATATTCTCATTAGCTTGTCTTTCTTTTTTGCAGGTTAGAGTTTCCTAGTTCTTTCATAGTGACTGCCTTTGCCTACTTGTGTCTTGCTGTTGTCCGAGAAAACTCAAGCCCTTTAGGTGCAATTCCGAAGTCCTTGGGATAATCAGATCCGAAATCTTAGGATGACTCGGTTTATTGACTCAGATTTATGTTACTCTATTCCTTTAAGTGCTTAAAAACGTTTAACATTTATTAACTCATTTGTCCTTCTAGATCTTGCCTTAAAGGTACATTATATCACTTCCTTAAGAAAGAGCAAGAAGAAGCCATAGGTCACATCTTCCCAAGAGGGAAATGAGATAAAGAGCAAATATCAATCATTGATGGAGCGCTTTTACCCTTGTGAATTTTCTTTACTCCACGCCAGTGAACTGTGATTAAAGTATTACTATGTGAACTCTGGCAGCCTAATGGGTAGTGAGTCTCAGTTCAATTCCATCAAGGGGTCTGAGGGAGAAAGATGGGCAATCTCCTCCTTGTGATTTACTGCCTGTGGGGAAAGATAGCTGTGAGTCCTTCCTGGACAGTGTGAACTGTTGAGTGTGATTCTTTTTTTTTTTTTTTTTTTAGTGTGATTCATTTTAAAGCACCATGTTGATATTTTGTCAACAACAAAACATGAGCATTTTAGTCATTTCCCACCCATATACCTGGTGTGTATTTTAATTGAAAACTCTTATCTCTGCATTTCAAATATTCATAGGCAGTATTATCTACACTGCAGAATGACTGTTAAACATAAGCCCAAGTTTGATTTTCTTCTCCCCCCACCCCTGGATTACTTCCATTCTCTATAAAACCAGGAAAAGAGCTGAAAATAGCATCCTCAGCAAAACTCCCACAGAAATATAGATATATATAAACTGTAATGCAACATTTCAGTAAGATTTACCCAATGGGCTTAATTAAAGGGAAATAGAAAGACTATGTAATTCCTGAGAAACATGACACAGTGATTTTATTGCATTATATTTTATTTTAAAAAGGGAAATTACGTAGGTGTGTGACCAGGTGTTTTGCTTTTAAAACCATTGCTTTATCATAATATTTATTATAATACTGTCTGTATCACTGAAGGATGTCTGTTGAGACCTGTTGTTGTGCCTTGATAACATTAACTCCCTGTCAGTGGCCTTTTTCCTGTATTGTTTTGCTTTTCAAATACATCCTGTATTTCCCTTTCACTCTTAAAACCCAGCCCAAAGAAAACTTGTGGTGCCTCTTGTTACCACATGAGGTCTCCATAAATCCTGACCTAGACTGAAGCAAAAGTAGAATCCATTATAAGTCAACCTCCTAGTCTCCTCTTATCTGGAGGAGAAAGGGATCTAATTGTTGTAATAATTTAGAAGATAAGTTGAAACCATTAAAACTCTACATGGTTAAAAAAGAAAAAGACAAAGAACAGAAGGGGGACGACCACCATTCTCCAAGTTTGCATTTTCTTGGGAAGAAGAGGGGGGAAATTGCAATATTGAAATACATAGACAGGTAATGGGAATAAAAATAGGGAATTGATGAAAAGGGATGAACTTGATTAAAAAAAAATAACTGCTACCTTTTGTTAATCAATGGGGGCAAAGTAATGACATTCATCAAATTCATGAAGCTTACCCATTAATTCCTAGTTTTTTAGTTGCTTTTATGTTATTTATTTCCTTCTGTGACAAGATGCATTGGTGATGGTTATATAATTTTTCTCAATATCTTTGTACCAGAAATACAAATCTAATATCACAGGGTTAAATTTAACTAACATTTTCCTCATGCCAACTAAAGTGTCAAGTTCTTTGAGTTATACCCAATGCACGATTAAAATGCTTTAGTTATTTTACTCTTTAAAGGAAATGACATTGGTTGTCACGCACGCATAGCCAATTAACTAGTAAGACTGAAACTGGAATACA